CTAATGTTTTTTTACCCTCAGCGCTGTCTGACAGGTGACGGGAAAGGTTCAGGTGCATTCGTCAAACTTTCCCTTAAACCCAGGGGTTGTGAACGTTTCTGACAGTTACCTGATCCTTCAGGGTGTGCAGCGCCACTTCGTGTTCCTTTTCTTTGCTCTGCAGCTGCTCTCTCAGCTCTGCTGCCATCTGAACAGAAACACAGGCACCGCTCGGTCACTGGGGTTTTACTAAACGCTACGATCAGCAGGACGTGCTGATCGCTGCCAAGCTACAGTAAAGAGTATTATGTATTAGATATATTAGTATAAGAGTATTATTATGAAGTCACACTGGTTTTAGGAGGTGGGTCGTAATGATGATGTCATAAAGGCTGTTACTGAGCTCTCACCTGATTGGCTGCAGCGAGGTCGGACTGGAGCTTGTGGACACGGACGTTCACGGCCTTCAAATCTTCCTCTTTCCTCTGGTTGATCTCATCGATCTTTGTCCTGCACATAAATAAATAAATCAACTTTCTGTAAGAAAGAGAACGGGTTCGAGGACAACAGAACATGTTTTGGTTCTGACCTGCTGTCGTTGTACAGAACCTCCTTTTCAGTATGCAGACGCTGAAAACTGAAAACAAAGAGTTATGAAAAGCAGGAAGAACTTCACTGACTTGTGTTTCCTTCAGGTTCTCCAGCTCCAGGAGACACGGCCCGTTCGAACCTTCATACAAACATGAACTAAACTGTGAGTGTGTGGCTACTGATGATGTGGCTGGATGGACTTTCAGGAAAAAACCTTAAAGGTTCTTAGCCTGACCCGAGCAGGTTCTGGATGACGTGTGCTCCGGGTCGCTGCTCGCGTGGTTGACCGGCTGCTTGTAGAGCAGTTTTACGGTGGTTGGGTTTTGTTATTTATTTGTTCCTCTGCTCATCCAGAGTATTCAGTGCGTGTAGTACGTGTAACCGTAGGTTTTTTGTAGTTTTGTCTTTGTTCGTTATTGTCGACACATTTTGACGTTTTTGTGTCCAGCACGACTAGCGTTAGCAGTAGCTAATGGTACAACAGATTTTGCTGTCTCGCTTGGATTACTAAAAGATCTCACATTATGGACATTCAAGGACTCTATCAGGCATTACTATTACTTCTTTTGCTGATCTTACGGAACCGAGTCCACAGCAACAGATTGAATCTTCCCGATGTCATCGTAAACAAAGACAGCTCCCCCCGTGAAACTAGCTAATGTGCACTTGCTCCGAAACAGGTTAGACGAGCTGCAAGCTAATATAATCCATCTGCATGAATACAGGACTGCTTCTATTTGGGCTTTTACAGAAACCTGGCTGAAAAACAAGGACACAGATAACACACTACATATCGATGGTTTCGCTCCCCCAATAAGACTGGATAGGGACAGTGAGTTCACTGGCAAACATGGCGGTGGTGTTTGTCTCTACGTAATCTCATGTTGGTGCACAACAGTCGTGGTGAGGGAGAAGCTGTGCACCAGACATTGAACTCTTGTCTGTTTCCCTTCGTCCCGTTTATTTACCAAGGCAATTTCCACAGCTCTTTTTCATTCTGGTGTACATTCACCCAAAAGCCAACGCTGTTGCTGCCACTGAACATATCATGGCATCACTGAAGAGACTGGAACACATCTCACCAGACTCACCAAAATTGATTTTGGGTGATTTCAACCACTGCTCCCCAGGGAAAGCCCTTAAAGGTTTTCATCAACACGTTACATGCAGCACCCGCCAGGGAAAGACGTTAGACAGATGTTATGGGTCACTACCGCATGCAGTTAGGTCTGTTGTACTCCCCCCTCTAGGCTCTGCAGACCACAACACTGTTCTGCTATTTCCGGCATACATTCCTGTTAAGAAGCTTACTTTGAACATCAAACAGTGGACCAGTGACAGCGATCTAGCTCTCCAAGCATGTCTTGAGTCCACAGACTGGACTAACCTCTTAACCCCCTCCAACTACCTCAATGAGCAGTGGACACCATTTCTTCCTACATCTCATTCTGTGTGGACAGTATCAATCCTTCTAAAACTGTCACAATCTTCCCCAACAATAAACCCTGGGTAACCAAAGACCTCAAAGGAATCCTCAACAAAAAAAGAGGATCTTTTTTAATGGCTCAGAATCTGAGAAGAGAGAGGTCAACAAGGAAGTCAAGCGCTCCATCAAAACTGCCAAGTTGAAATACAAAAACAAAGTGAAGGAAAAATTCATACACGGGAACATCCGCTCAGCTTGGCAGGGCCTAAAAAACAAGGCCGCTGTGAATACCACCACCACCTGTTGAAATACCATCCAGGTGGATAGTAGCAGCCGTGCATTACTTCCTAATGACCTCAACCTCTTCTTCACCAAATTTGAGAAAGACAATGCCACTTTGCTGGAAGAGATTAGGTCAACACTTCAATCCAGCAGTGGAACACTCACCTTCAGCACAGAGGACATAGTGAGTGCTCTGAGGAGGACTAAAGGATCCTGCTCACCTGGCCCGGATAACATCAGCAGCCGTGTTTTAAGGTACTGTGCAGAACAGCTGGGAGGAGTGTTCCAGAGCCTATTTCAAAAATCATTTGATAGCTGTAAAGTTCCCCAGATGTGAAAACATTCCACAGTCATCCCCATGCCTAAGAAGAACACCTCCAAAGTACTCGATGACTACAGACCTGTGGCCCTCACATCCCTCGTGATGAAAGCTTTGGAAAGAATTGTTAAACAGCATGTCATTCAAGCAACAAACTCTCTGATTGATCCCCTCAAATTTGCATATCGCACGAGCAGAGGTGTCGATGATGTTAACATATTCATCGTGGACACTGTACACAGACACCTTGAAGTCCTCAGTCAGACTACTGTTTACAGATTTCTCCTCTGCTTTCAACACCCTTCAGCCTCACATCTTGGCCAATAAACTCTTCTTCCATTTCCACCTGAACGACCAGCTCATCCTGTGGTTTCTGGACTTTTTAATCCACAGATCACAAAGAGTGCTGGTTAACTCAACTTTCTCTGATTACTCCACACCTCCACTGGCTCTCCACAGGGCTGTGTCCTCTCTCCGCTGCTCTTCGTCCTCTACACAGATGACTGTAGATCTACACAGCCCAACTCTTACCTGGTGAAACACGCTGATGACACAGTTCTTCTCTCTCTGATGTTAGGCCCCTCACAGCATCATGGAGCAGCTCTACAGGAGTTTGTGGACTGGTGTGACAGCTCTTGTCTGGAGATGAACATCATTTAGACCAGAGATACGATGGCGACTGTTTCCAATCAGCAGAGGGTGCTGACCACAGCAGTCACCACATAAATCCATGGAGAGCTTGTTGAGCTTGTGGAGGAGTACAAATATCTGGGTACCATCTTTGACAGTCTGCTGAAATTCTCTGCCAGCATGGAGGAGATCCTCAGAAAGTGTCACCAGAGGCAGTACCTCCTCAGGAAGCTCAACTCCTTTGGAGTAAGTAAGATCATTCTATGGATATTTTACTACTCCTTCATCGAGAGCATCACCACCTTCTCCATAACCTGCTGGTTTCATTCTGCCAGCATCCAGAACAGAATCCACCTGCAGAAGACTGTCACTGTCTGTTCTAAAATCGTTGGCCCTTAGGATCCCGTCTGTTGTCTCTGAACACTTAACATGCAGGTTAGCGAACCGGATCATACAGGACCCTTCACATGTCCTCTTCTGATCATTTGAGTGGCTTCCATCGGGTCGCCGGCTCCGCTGCCCTGCCTGCAGGATACAGAGAAGAGCTGCCTTTGTGCCCAGGGCTGTCCAGCTCTTAAACAAATAGTTCTGCTTCTTAATATTCGTGCATACACATACAGATACACATCCCCTTTCCCAACACATGCACATTCTCACCCTACGCCCACCCCACATACACAAACACGTGTACATCTCCCCATTCCACAGGACTTTAGTTGTAAAAGGACTCACCTCAATGCCCATTTGCATCTTGCTAATGCATATTGCACGTTCTTTTATTTATGTATTTTTATCTAGTATTTATTTTTATGTATGCTCTATGTGCCTCTTAATTGCCCCCCTGGGGATAAATACAAGTTTTTTTAATTGAATTGAACTGAATAGGAAGGTTAAAACGGCTGAACATGAGCGTCTCACCTCTCCTGCTTCTTCTTTAACTTGTCAGAGAGCTGAAAGGAAAACACAAAGTTGGTGCTCCAAAATCAGAGGTTCTGTGAGGATGTTCTGACCCGTTTGGACCCGCAGGGTTACCTTTGTTATATCGTCCTGCAGTCTGGTGACCTCAGCCTGTCTGGAAGCCTGTAGGACAGCAGACAGGTTTTAAACGATCAGAAGAACTCGTGTAGTTTTGATGAAACATGGAACTTCAATATTTGACATTAGGAAAAGAAAGATCTGATTTAATTTACGTTTAGAAAAGTTACATTTATTTATTTATAAAAACAACAAGTTTGGTGAAAGTGACTCAAAATAAAATGTTTAATTACTTTAAAATGTATCAGAGGCAGCTTCCTGGACAGGTCTGAAGAAGCTCAGGTG